CCCAACGGCCGCCGCCGCGCGCGCACCATCTGGCGCCATCTTGCCTTGCCTTGCCCTGCCTTGCCCTGCCCTGCCCTGCCTTGACATCGCCCCTGCTCTCGACTGCTACCGCCCCTCCACACATCCCGGGACGGGATGGCCCCAAAAGGAAGACGGAGACCCGAGGGTTTTCCAGGGTTGCGTGTGCCGGTGAGGCCGCAGCTTCGTGCGGTTGCCGGACGAGAGCAGGCGGCGCTTGCAGGAGCCAGCGGGTGCGGGCTTGGTGCTTCCCGAAGCCGCCCGTTCCTTGGTGCGTGGCGCAGCCCGGCCTGCTCTGTGGCTTCTGCCCCTCCGGCGGCCCCCGCGCTTGGTTGCGCCTGTGTAACCTTGGGCCGCACGTGCGTAAAGCTGCTTGACATTCTCAGCCTGCATCGCACTGCAGCGAGATTTGTATCTGGTCCTTGGGAAACCTGTTCTGGAGGAGGGGGAAACGAGTCCTTGATGCAGAGCCTGCAGCTATTCACTAGGGGTATCAGTCAAAGGGTGTCGATGTCCCAAGCTATATTAAATAACCTTCACGGAGTGCAGTACAAGAGAAGAACAGTTGAAAAAGGCGAAAGGGAGGCAATTTGTAAAGAATTTCGTATTTTATAAACTCATGATGATGAAACCCTAAGTGTTCTTTCCGTCTGCCTTAAACATGATTAAGTGTAATATCAAAGCAAAGAAGCAAAGTGTAAAGAGTCTTCAGAAGCCTGTGGTGAAATATAGTTGCTTTTTCTCTGTTACTTATGATTTTTAAAATGCAAGTTTCCCATTTATCTCCTGATAACATTTTTTAATGGCCAGTATCTTAGTTAAATGGCATTTAGCATTCTTCAAGGCCATGGCACAGAGACAAGGAGAGAACACCTCTTTGGGAATAAGTTTGCAGTTCATTGACTTTCCAGTCACACAGTGTGCACAAGCTTACCCACTTGAAGTGACAACTTACAGTGCTATTCAGCCAGTTTGTCACTGGCTAATCTGTTAAATTTATGTCGCAGAAATGCCAATTCTCTTGAGGGTTGTAAAGGCAGCAAGAATGGGTTGAAAGCAAAGCAGTTGGTGAGGCCTTAGCCTTTCATTGAAACCAAGTGGAGCATCCCAGACTTTACCAGGTCTTTACTGGGTCTCAAGTAACACCAAGTGAGTCTGCCTAGTCCATCAGTTATTTCATTATTTGCTTACTGAGAGGAAACATACTGGAGGAGACGTGATTGTGCAAGCTGCAGTCTTAGAAGTTGAAGTATTGCTAACAGAATTAAGAGCGGCAGCATATTTTAGGAGTAGCCTGAAGAGGGAGCCATTGGTATGGGACAAGTAGCAGCTAAGGCAGAATCACTATTAATAATAATAATAAAAAAAAATCATACCTGTACCAGAAATAATTAATTTTATTTTGTAATTATAAGCTGTATTTATTAAATGTTTACAGTCATCCCTACATTTAATGTTCTGGCTGAACAAAAGTTGTCCTGAAAAGTGGTTCTGTGTTCTGAAATAGTTATGCTAATAAAAATATATTAGAATGCAAGCTGAATATAAGTCAATGAGTAATTAACAAGGATTTAATTAGCTAAAAGATTAATTTATCAACGGATTGTAAACATAGACTATATTTATTTTTTAACAGAATATGACACTAGGAATGATTCTGCAGTTGCTGTATTTCTACCACACCAAAATTCTGATTTCACTAGAAATATTACTTATTCCAAGAGTACTACCAGCTCTTTACTTAGCTGTGTAACTTTCCTACTTATTAGTCTGTGTTTGCTCCTGTACAAAAAACACACAGCTTTGTGAGTACTACTACCAGAAGTGAGATATTCAGCAGGATAAAGGCAGTCACCATAACACTACTTACCAACTCTGACTCACGGGATTTCCTATCAGATTTGTTTAGAAGAAATAACCCCATGACTGGATGATGATCTCTTAGGTAGAATGTCACTGTCAGGCCCTCCAGAGGACACTGGTGTCTGTAGGATATCAAGTTATTAACATCAATCCATAAGAGCTCCTTAACCACCTTTGGTTTTCCACAGAATAGCAAATTTTTGAAGAAAAGTTGCATATATCTTTATTCTGCAGTTCCAACACCTAAGAAAACATGAAACAGAATAATTAGGATGTAAACACCGAGAACCTTTTTAGTGTCAATTACCTATATGCATATATATATATATACACATATATCTATAACTTCCCTTTTTTAATGCAAGTTGTTTTGACCATTTTTCAAGGTGTGTGATTCAGGAAGGTAAGTGCAATATTCCAGTTTGACTGACCTGCTGCTGCACGCTGTTCAAACTGATGGAATTTGTATCCATTGGAATCCTTGGAGGTATTTAAAGGATGTGTAGATGTGGTACTTAGGGTTTTGTAGTGGACTTGGCAGTGCTGGGGTAATTGTTGGTCCTTACAAACAATTTGATGGTTGAAGGTAAGGATGTTACTGTCTTTGAAACGAGTTTTAATGTCTCTACTAACTTCGGGCCGCAGGTTTGTTACAGAGCCCAGACAGCTTGGCCGCTGAACAGTCTGCACAAGCCTGAGTTTCTGAGCTTCGGGGTAAAATAGTAGGTTCAAGGGGGGAGTATGTAATAGGCGGCTCGGGAAGGCTTTACCTTCCTAGTACCTCAGCCAATGGGGAAAGGAAGAGGGCAACATGTGGCCGGGAGCGTGGGATGAAAGGAGGCTGCGCCCTCTGAAACCTCGAAAGAGAAGATGCCGCGGGTGTGTGTCAGTGGACTTTCTCCCGTTATTCGAATAAGGTTGCAGGATTCCTCCATCTCCTTTTTTGGACAGAAACCTCTGGCATTTGTGGATTTTTCAGACAGACTCGATAAAGGTCTTTTTTAACAATGGACAATTTCAATTAATAATTCTGTGAATCGGCCATGGTCCTGTGATCCAGGTCCCTGGCTGGTGCAGCACTACTGTAATTCAAGGCTCAGCTGGTTCCAGCACTGCCTCGGCCGAACGGCAGCCTGGGCAGGACACAGGTGGCTTGTGGCCGCCTCGGCAGGGTCACAGCGCCAGGGCACTGCCAGCGCCACACTTGAGCACGGATGGGCTGGCCGAGGCCAGCTGCCTGCAGCTCCCATGTGGTTCTGTGGGGAGCTGCCCCTGTGAACCATGGTGGCAGTTCCGTGCCCACTGCCCCTGGTGTCCGAAGGAATGGAGAGCGAGTCTGCACAGCCCCGCTCGGTCTGCTCCGCAGCCGGGCAGCCACACCGATTCCAGGAACCAGAGGAGGTGTGGCCGCGTCAGGGCACGGCTGCCCCTTTGTGCCACCGGGCTCACGCTGCCCGTGGCACCCGCAGCCGCTCCTTCATTAAAGGCCGCACCTTCTGACTCACTTCGTGTTACCCGCTGGGCTCGCTGCCCACTCGAGCCAATGAACTCGTTTGAAGTACAAATAGCTAACCATTTTTACATAAACAAAATGTTCACCCACTGCTAGGTACCTTTTGTTATTTTTTTTTTTTTTATGATATAAAAAACTTTACGCAGGCAAGTAAAAATGTAGTAAAAATTATGTGGTTTCCCAACTTTTCCTGCTGTTGTAGGTGCAATGTGAATGTTTGAGGAAAAATAAGAGGGAAAGCACCCGGGCTTTAATGGAAGGCTTACTAAGGATTCGTTTGAATTTTTTATAATTACATAAAATCTAGGGGGGAAAAATAATTTTGAGCAGCTTGAAGTGATTGGAAGGGTTTTTTGCAAGTAAAATAATTTTGTAGGAGTTTAAGTTTACAGATAGAAGCTGCAAGAATATGAAAAAACAAACAATCAAGATAGTGCTTGAAGTTCCCTCACTTAACAAAAGAAAGTGAATGACTGCAAATCCTTTCCTTTGGCCCACAGATGATGCATCGTGCAGGCCTTGTTTTGCCAGTAGTATTAAAGGCTTTCTATTCAGCCTGCAGCATGGAAGTATGGGGGCCACGGGGGCCATCTGTCTGCATGTGCACAGAAAGGTATCTTCACAGAGGCACTTGAAGAGTCACATGTGGTCTTTCATCAGATCCTGAATAGTCTGAGTGAAGTTTCTCTAAAGTCAAGTTACAGTCCAGATGAGGAGTGGTAAGAGAATTGTATAACATCTATGAGATGTAAATGTCTAGAACAGTAGTCATATAGCTGTCTGCTCAGTGTCACAGTAGCCAACACCTCAAAAATAAATAGTAATAAATGGTCATAGAAAGCAATTGTATATAAGCACCAAAGGCTAAACTGTTTTGCATACACAATACAAAACATGCAGACAGGAGACCTCACTTATGTCTCTGTGCATGCAGCTTTCTAAATACAAACATCAATATCTATATACCAATAAATCAGATGTGGGGTTTTTTTCCATGCTGACAAATAACTGACGTTACTTGAAGCACACAGGCAAAAATTTTACCCATGGACATTAAGTCTTCAGGCTGTTCCCTCCAGAAAATCCCATGTTAAGATATATTAGCACCTATAGAGTGCTGCAGGTGAACATAATTTTTCCTGGGCCCATAGACTTTGGTGTGGTGTGACTTAGCAAAGGCACCACTGACTGCCATTGCTAGCTCTTTCACAGGAGTGCAGCTAGCACAGCGTCTATTACGATTTTGTTTGTTTGCTTGTTAGTTTGTTTAAAATGGATCTTTCATTGTTTTTCAATAAAAAGTGGACTATATAAATTTTGGTGTCCAGAAGCACCCCCAGAAAGGTAGTTTTAGAAAGGATGTACTTCCAGGATCTTACTGATCCTTCCACTGTGATGAAATGAAACTTTATCTTTTGAAATTCTCACTGGAATGTCAGGGTTGCTGCCAAACTGAGGATGTTAACCCTGTCTATGGAATTTGATGCCTTGTCAGGAAGACAATAATGCACAAGAGACAAGTAAAACAGTGCTAATTCTTGCATTTCTAATTGTAAAAAAAGAGTGATGCAAACTTACATGAAATTCATATGAGGGCTCTGCCACCACTTGTTTCTTTATGCCAGAATATGTGTCAGGAGCGTATCATGTTGAATATTTTCAGGTTTCTATTACAGAAATGTTTACAGGTTTCAATTCTATGCTCCCCTTCAATTCCACAAATAAATGATATTTGAAGTATTCTTACAGATGTAAAAAGAAAAAAAAAAAGAAAAGAAAGAAAAAATTGTAACTGCATTGGAAAGACGGGGAACATACAATTGGCTGACATGTCATGCCATTTTACAGTGAGAGATCATCAAAATGATCTTAAGACAGGTAGCAAAATCAGCATTATCCACACATACTCCCACAACATCTGGTTTCATTTAACTATAGATATGTTTAAGTCTGTCTGGCGGCCGACTCTGCTAAACCTCCAAGGATTTAGTTTTCTTGTACTGGGGTTTTTTAATAAAAATTCATTTAATTTTAATAATAATTCATTGAAATAAAATGAGAGTCATTTATTATCCTCTATTGTTTGTTATGTGTGAAGATGTCCAGCTTGCCAGAATTTACAGCTCTGAGACTGTGTAATTAATCTCTTGCAAATTCACAAAGCAAGTTTCTCAAATAGACATATATCTGAAATACAAACATCAATTCTGGTACATTATGCATCAATACATTAAGATTTAATGTGGTAGCAGATCAGAAAATAATATGCAAAAAAGTATGCTACATGAAATAGAGATTTAGTCCTTATTTTTAATCTTCACTAAGTCAACATATTATCCACGTGGCACATGCATCCTAGTCCTGTTAGAACTACATCTACTGAAATAAGAATGTGTTTATACTGTTAGCTCTAAAGGAAGAATTTTCTGGTTACACACTGAAATTCTCAAATGCTCATCAAGTAAGGAATGTGACCATTTTCCTTTGCTGTTGGGATGCACCTTATGGAGAGTGGACTTCAGACCTTAAGCAAGGCTCAGTTGGGCTTTTTTTCCCCTCCCAGGAGTAACATTTCTTAGCAAAAAGAATCCAAATTTCACACCTGTGAAAGTGTGTTTGTACTTTGGTTTCACAAAAAAACACAGCTGTTGTTTCTGCATTGAGAAGTAAGTGAATGCGGCATATTTCACTCAAAGAATCTGCATGAAATTGAATAACAAAATATAAGCACATTTTCAGATAGTATTTGCAATTTTTCAAACTCTGTGAGAGCAGATAAATTAACTAGGAACTTTCTCCATTGTCGTCCATCCAAACAACTCATTCCATGTGACAACCAGCTGAAAACTAGGAACTGACTCACCTCCTTAGAAAGTACTGGAAATGTCAAAATGACTTGTAAGTGACTTCAGGAAGAAGGCTCACACTGGTTCAAGTTCATAGCTGAAAAAAAATATGAAAAGAAGTTTCAAGATTGCATGTTTGTATTGTTAGCAGCTAATTTTGAATTTCCTGGTCTACTTGTAATCTACTGGTCTACATGTAATCTAATGTAGCAGCATTGCAGAAAAACCTTTGCTACATATTTGTCAAAATTATCTGCAACTTGGCAGTATTCTTCATACACTGTTCTGAAGAATGCAAGTAAGAAGCTCACTGAAATACTTGGCAGTAGAGCAAAGTAGACAAATATGCACTCTGTTAAAAAGGAACTGTTCATATTTTTGTATTCATAAATTTGTTAAAAATATTTAATGACACACCTCCTAAAGTGCATGATGTGTCTGCAGCTCCAAATACAGCCATATGTGGAGTTGAACTCAGTTGTCCTTATGGGTCCCTTCCAATTTTAGATATTCTATGATACAAGATATAAACTTGAAAATCAGTTAAGCTTCACCTTGGAACAATAAGTATTTAACTTTACATGTTACTTGCAGGTGGAATGTTCCAGCAGAAATAAGGGAACTCGTGGGTCCTCACTAGCACCAGCCACTGTGGCATGCGCCTCTGTGTCACAGGTAGAGGCACAGTTGCACAATCTTCCTTGTCCAAACATGGACTATGAACATCCTTAACTAGGAAGGTATTTTATAACATTTTGTGAGACAAGCCAAATGCTGTATTCTGAAAGGAATAACTAGCAGGAGTCAAAGTTAAACTACTTGGGAGTAGTGTGACTGAAAAGGAAGACCATAACTATGTGAGTAAGGTTAATTTCCACTTTCACAGGCTAAGTAGACTATGACCTGATTAGTTCCCAGTCTCAGGAGGCTGCTCATGTCTCTATGCCTTCAGCTCCTGTTGTCAGCATCTTATTCTCCATGATTTTAGCTGACACACTTTTCATCCTTCTCTTTTGAAACATCACTTAAGGATTAAAAACTGTGTTTATCTAATGTAAAAAAGCGACTGTCACACTTAGACCCACTAATCTTAAATGGAAATTAAAATCTTCTAATTTATTCTTTCACATTAATAATCAGTAGAAAAATACGATCCCATTCTTGAGTGTTTGATTCCCTACAACACAGATGTACAGCCTACAAGAAAAAGGAAAACTTGGGACAAGCCTTCCTCTCCCAGGGAGACAGGCAGAACTTGACCAGCTATGTATGGGCACCTGTCCTGTTAGGTGTGCTCTGGGGGCTGTGAAACACTGGCACAAGTTGCCCAGAGAGGTGGTTGGATGCACCATCCCTGAACACATTCAAGGTCAGCTTGGATAGTGCTCTGAGCAGCCTGGTCTACTTTATCCTGCTCATTGTAAACGGCTTGGACTATATGGTTTCCATAGCCCAAAAAATTCTATGATTCTGTGATTTTTACTGTGCCTTCCAACCTAAATTCTTTTATTATCCTATGACCCAGGTCTTCTGGACATGTGCACAATGTTGTTTTCCCATTATTCAGTTGTAAGAAAAAACCTGAATCAGAATGGACAAGAATATTTACTTTTTTAAATCAATGACTGGATTAGATCTTGCAAGTGTACATGTATATACAGCTACATAAATGCGTATTTAAATACACAAATTGTACATATGATTTCTGTAGTTGGTCATGATTTGACAATATCCAATATACTCTGACATGGCATATGTCACATCTAGAATAAGACTAACAAATAGAAGCAAACTTTAATCCTATTTCTAAGGCTAGTATTGTGGAGTTGTCTTCAATTTACTGTGGCAGCAAATAGCTGTTAGTGCAACCAAGAAGAAACATTTCTAGAAACGTTGTATAACACTACAGACCTTAGAAAAATACACACAGTTTCTTTTTTTCACAAGGCTCCAAAAAGGAAAGCCAGAGTGGATCATCCTTGGTCTAAGAAGGGAAGAGTATCTCTCAGTACCCTGTGGGTTGGAGTTGCTTTCCCAATGCTTTCTTTCTTTCATGGACAGGAGAATTTGAAATTTAAGTTTTATGCTCTTTCTCTTCTCTGGGACTGAAGGAGACATGGAGATGGTCTGCATAATTCAGTGGCCCCACTGTTTCACTCATATAGTTTTAACTTGATATTAAGTGGCTATTTCAGAGCAGAATCTTATTTCAAAGCACTGCTCTAAGACTGTCTGTGCTTATAAAATTATTCTCTTTTTTGACTCTCTTTTATTTGTCATTCCAAAAACAACAGTAAAAATACATAAGCCCATCTTCCATTCCAGCTTCATAATGTTGTAGAACACACAGACAACATATATTATAGTGGTATTTCAGAGCAGTCATATTCCTAAAATACAGTCTCCATCCCTCTTTCATGGAGAAATCTGCCACCTCCATCTCACCAAGTTTTCAGCTCTTCTGCCAAAAGGGTCATATTTTTGAGCAGAGGTTTCTTTCCATTATGTTTTAATTTAACTCGGGGATGGTTCTGTATAGGACTAAAACTATGTCTCAATGATCCTTGTGGGTCTCTTCTAACTTGGCATATTCTGTGAGCCTGTGCAATTCTGTAACTCGTAAAACCACTGCAAATCCAGAGACTGCAATGATTTATCTCAATTATACATTTTGAAATATTTCAGTAAAATTCCCACATGTACCTCTATGGTGTGATAGCTTTTAAGCATGGACCAGTCTGCCCTGAGTGCTGGGCAGACACTGGAATACTCAACCCTGCAATATTCATTACTGTGCTGGTTCCTAAATGCTTACAACAGGTGAAGGGAATTGGGAAATCACAGAGAATTATTCTGCAAATTGATGATACCCAAACCAGATTCTGGTCTTTAAGGCTTTTGGTCCTTGTCCTGGACTACACTGCAGTTCTGCAGGCAGCAGTGCCAAGTTAGAGTCTGAGCTGAGTCCTCCTTTTCCCTTGAACACTGTCAGCAGTCAGAGCCAGAATCCTTAGACAGCTCTTGCAGCTGAACTGTGAGCCTCACAGTCTCAGGTTGGGCTGAAAATGGGTGTTTATTGAGAATGTATGAGTATTCCCTTCTGTTGACTCTGCATCCACAACTTTGTTCTTGCAGATTTTTGCAGGGAGGTAACAGGAGAGAAAGGAAAGATCCCAAGTACTTTCTGTAATTCACTTAGTATCATTTTTTGTAACATTAGGGATAATGCTACTGGTTCAGTTGGTTTGGTTGTATGTGAATTAATTATGTTAGAGTGAAAATCACATTCTAATGTTCAAACAATCTAGATTTGAATTGTGAGCTTTGTGCTGGATGCTTTGCCTAAACAGCAAACAGAGCTCTCAACTAATCTGTTTTTATTTCAAAATATATCATTTGCCTTTGACTTAATTATTAATGTAAATCAATGCTTTAAAGGTGTTGGAGTCAGAGGCACAGAGTGTATGCCCTTATCTATGACACCTGGCTCTGACATCCAAGAAAGCATTGAATTTCACGTAACACCATGGAAACAACTGTTAAATAGAAAAACTAAGAGTGTGAGTGTGTAAGTTAGAGAGTTTTCTTAAGTCACTAAGTGAAAAAGTTAGAGTTTAAGGTTTAAGCTCTTTTAAAAAACAAAAGACAAGATGGAGGATTTAGGGTGCTGCCTCTTCTTCCTTCTTGCCTCTTCATCTTGATAGCCATTTTGCACCTCTATATCTTAGTATATATAGCTCCTTGTACTCTGCATATATGTAATATAGATAAAAGAAGAATTAACAGCCTAGTCCAAACAAGAGAAAACTGCCTCTCTCTCATCAATCTCAGTCCAAGGGGAAAAGAACTCAGCCACCAGTGTCACATCCCAACAAAAGGTAAATAACAACCAGTTTCTAATTGGGTGGAAAAACACCCTTCTGATGACAGACTTTGGCCAGAACAGATGTTTACAAGATTTGCTTTCTATTGTATGGAAAGAACGTCAAATGAAGAAAACATTATTAAGTGATTCTTAAATCTGGTCACAGCACAGTAAGGGGGATTTGGATGAGAGGGAAGACAGAATCCTGACCTAGAAATGTTTATTTATTGTTGCAGTTCTACTTACCTCAGTGATTATATTCATAAATAGATATTATTAGGCAAGTCTTCACATCAAACTCAAGAAGAACATTTCATTGCACTTCCTATTTAAAATCTTCTTTGAATGACAAGGAAAGAGATTAATTTCATAGATCTTTCTTCAAATAATTACTTAAGTATAATTTTGTATATAGTTAGGAGGAAACTACAGTGCATGTTGCTCATATTCAGAAACTGGAATGTGAGCTAGGCAGCATGAAGAGTGATACTACAAAACAGAAATAAAATCATGTTGATAAAATAGATGTATAAATTCCCTTTGTCCTGAAGTTTAAAACTAAAATGTAACATGTTCCATTCAGCAAGAATGAATTATCCCTAACCCTATTTTACAGCATTAGGGGATAAATCACTTGATGAACCGTATCACAAATGCATGCCATTTAGTAGTATGCCAAGAAATAGCACAACATTTTATTTTTTTTTCCCCCACCAATTCACAGCCATTGAATATGTGATTTACATGTTTTATAAAAGTTAGAAAGCTTAAGGAAGAACTTTGTTGATTTTTTTTATATGATCTGTCAGTTGATAGCCTCTGTGTGGGAAGTTTCATGTAAGTTCCGATGTAGCTTTGATATCTCCAGGAAAAAAGCTGCAAACAATTTGGTTCCTTCAATATAGTTGTGTCTGTGAAGAAGGAAAGAAGCACAATGAAGCCTTGTCAGGCTGTCCTTTTCTTAAAATAAGGAACATAGTCCAGTGAAGTTTTTTGAGTCTTTGGAGAAATTTGCAAGGTTGGCAACCCCCAAAAATTACCCAGTACACAGAAATGCTGGACATCCTTCAATTTGGTACTCCTCTGGATTTACTTCAGAAAACCTTTTTCAGGTTTACATCCCCAAATTGTATTTACATGTAGCAATAGCAGTGTTGAGGCTTTAATGAGGGGAGACCAAAAGTAATTTGAGAATTATTGTAGGAGTCTCCTCTTTCCAGAGTTCAGCATGAGTTGACTCAGAGCCTCTACAAGTGTTCAGGCAACACACTAAAGAGTTGCTTACCATGATGCCTCCAACAATGAACATCAGTGACAAGTTTAAGCTGGTTTTTTTACAATAATGCTGGTTATGGTCCCTGGACTATAAATAAATCTTTATAGCCATTTATACTGAAAACCACCAAAATCCTTACATAACCATGAGTGTCTGTGACTGGCACAATTAAAAATAGATGCTGCGACAGTAGAGTGCCCATCCACACCATTGTCTTTCAGAGCAGTGGCAAATTTCATTGCTAGTGAAGTGAAAATTGCCAATGTGATGAATTTAAAGACTGAGTAGACACCCCATGAAAAGTGTATAATGGTATGTGTTAGACTGGTAATTTTGCTTTCTGCTTAGCACAGCAGCTAGTGTGCTGGACAGAGTAGGTTTGGGCTGTGCAATGCACAGCAAAGCATCCCATCTGGGCACGCTCATTCATGGGTACCAAGGGACTTCAGTTCTCCCCCCTTCTCTAATAGCTGAAACAGACAAATGAAAGAAACCTGCTTATTTTCTCATTCTGGGAATGCTCCCCATCATCAGCTGCTCCAATGGGAAGCATCATCACACTTTTCTGTGTTACAGTCTGAAACATTCTGGCAACAGGAATCGTTGAGCCATCACGAATGAAATCTGGGTCTTCTCCAAAAACTGAAATACACAGGGAAAATGAATTAATAAATAGGTGTAATTCAGGTGCTATTTTCTCCTATCATGTAATTAAGCAAAGAGATGATGCTAAGACCTGCCCAGTAGAAATGGGTTTGAGTGTGTAGCAAATTGATTTCATAAATCAGCTCTGCTCTATAAACCTCTTGTTTTTTATCATACAAAAATAAGTAAATGAGGCCTTTTGGCTACTTCTATGAAACATATCAAAATTCAGTAAGGTATGGAAGATATTGATGAGTTGTTCCATCAAAATGAATGAGATTTATAAGGGTAAGAGGCTGCAGCACTGAATTGGGAAATCTGTTTTGCCCTACTGTTGAGCACAATGCCCCTGCACACTTGCAAACACACTAAGAATCGGAAAAAAAAAAAAAAAAAGGAACTCACCTGTTTTTATTGCCCGTCTTGCTGCTTTATATAGTAGATCATTAACATCTGCAAGCCAGGGCTTTGCACCCAGAGGCATGGACACTTTCAGTTTGTTTGGACTGTTCCTCTTGGAAAAGACACCCTCCAAGTGTTTCACCACCTGTAGGGAAAATACTTTTCAAAAAAGCTTTCATCTTGCAACTCAAGCTTATACCCACATTCCTACTTCCCTTGGAAACAGATAAGTGCTGAAAACATTCAGTTTACTACAAGTCTGGATTTGTGAGGTGCTAAGAAGGGGCTTTGTTTACACAGTAGTGGGGAAAAAAAGTATTTGTCTCTTACCTGTTTTTTCACAACTGAAAGGTCCATGTGGGGGACCTGACGGATTGAGAATTTGCCAATTACTTTTGCTGGAATGACTGTTTTAATGCCTTGCTCATGGAAAGCTCCTTCAATCCCATGAATAGAGAGAGAGGGGTAACGCCACAGGTGTAGAAGTATTTCTTCCTTTAAAAAAAAGTTTTAAAATGTGAGGGATGACACTGAAGCCAGCCACAACTGATATAAACAAGATGTTTCCATCCGAAAACTTCTATCTGGAGACCCCTGTATTTTTAAGATATTTGATTTTTAATTTCAACTCACGCACATGTATTTTCATTTTTACAAAATACTACTACTTTCAGTCATGGAAAGATTTAAATGGGAACAGTTTTTCATAAAAAATAAGAAAAATAGAACATTGTTTGAAAAATCTTGGAAGTAAATTTTCCTAGTGCAAAGTAGTTCGAGAACAACTTCTGATCTAATTGCCTGTTTATCCCAGAACTTATCACTGGAGAAACCATGCAGCCAGATCCATCCCAGATTATACCAGTGAAGAAATTCTACTAATGAATACTAAATAACACAATAGGAAAGATTATCAGTAACCAGGTTTTGCTGGAGAAGATGCAGAGGGGAAGCAAAATATTATGATTATTATTCTAAGGAAAATAGAAGAAATATATAAATAATAAACTGGTCTTCATGCAGAACCTCTGGGTGCTGCTGCTTTCCTTCAGTTTTATGAGACTAGACCTTTATCTACACATAAAATTAACATCAGTTCATCCTCATATAGATAAAGTAGCAAAACTCAGACAGTGTAGTTGCATTATCCTTTTGTATTACTGATTCTTACTTAGATTCTAGTCTAGCTTCAGGTAATCTGAAAGCTTTTTCAGGAAAATAAAAGCATCCATGTTAGCAGAACCTACACCAGAATAGCTGTGTTAGTGATAAAAAATTAATCAACTCCTCTCTCCCAGCTTCTATTCCTGTGCAGAGAGATCTTTCCAAGCCAGCCCTTACCTGCTATTTTTTTATTTAGGATATAATTTTTAATTGCTGGTAAGGAGAGGCTTGTAGCTTTGGATGCTTTTTATGGCAGGCTTGGCAGACATCAAAATCTGTGTTAAATAAAAGCCACCTTACATATCTGCCTAAAGCTTCCTCCCGTTTTTTCAAAGCTGAATACAACTTCTTTCCAACTATGTAACCTAAATGTAGGCATTTTAATGCATGTTTTATTTGGCTGATTAGGCTTAGGGGGTAAGAAGGGGTAGGCAAGGAAGGAAGACTTATACTGTTAGTTTTGCATTATTTATTTTAATTGATTATTGATATTTCAGATCACTTTCCCCAGATGCAGTGCCCTATATTTTCAGCAGACTCATTTTATTTACCTTTTACTTCTCAGTGCTCCTTTATTTTATTTTGAGCCTGCCATTGACGGAAAACATCTTTCTGTTTGGCTTTATACATAAATGCTACAAATAGGTGATATAAATTCTTTCTGCTAAGTATGCATACAGATTCTGTTACCTTGGTGTCATAAAGGAATTTTTTCACACCACAGTTTTTTCTATGTTCCTCTAGTTCAAATTCAATTGATTCATATAATTTCCTTTCTTCCTCCGTCAGGGCAGCAACACTGTCATAGATTCCAGGGATCTGAATATGGCCTGTGGAATCCACAAGGCTGTCTACAAAATAAGATGTAGATAATAAGATGTAGATATCAGTATAAGTGGAGACTATTTCTTCCCCTTGGCAATCGTAACACCTTCTCCCTTCTACCTAGCTCTTTACCAAATTAGTAAGCCTAACAGCTGTTTGCATCTGCCAAGCTGTGACACCTAACTTGATATATTTGCATATTTATTAAGAAAACCATTGAGCTGCTGTTTGTCTGTAGTGTGTGATGTGTCAGCCCAGCTGACATGAAAACATCATCCTCCTGGGATACAAATCAGTACTATAAAGTCATGTTTCACTATGTGTGTATGTATTAAAATTGCCTGTAATCCTTAGATGTGTGTGACTGATATCAGCTTAACATGTCTAAAGTCCTGGCTTTACTGGGGACATTCCCTTCCTCAGCTGCCACCACCAGAGTTGTGTTGAGGTTTGGAAGCCTGGGGTCTTTCTTCAATGAGACTTGCCTTACAACAATTAAACGTGGCCCTGCCCTTCATTAGGCTGCTCCTGGGCAGCGCTCCCCAGCAATGATGTGTGCTCTTACCCAGCAGAGCTATCAGATCCAGCAGCGGCTCGTGAATGATGCCTCCAAAAGTTCCAGAGTGAAGGTCCTTGCTGCCACATTCAACCTGCACCAAAAGCACTGGTTACATGTAAATACTCGCTACCTTATTCTTCTGTGAGTGTTTGTTTTCTACAGTGACTGGTGGTTCCAGTTTTTTTAAACAAGATCACAAACGAACATTAAATGTTGGGGTTTTTTTCTAATTATTAAATGGAAAACATCATGTCAGGAACAATCTGCTTTGGCAGAGAAGATGGAGCTCTGTTGTCAACCACCAGAGAGAGAAATTCAGCTGTGTGTAGCACTCACATATCTGAGAGCAAGGGTGCTCCTCCACTCCTTCTTTTGCTTCAGTAAGATTAAAGACATCATACATTAAACATTTGCATATTATTAACTGTTTCTAACATTAAAGAATAAATTCTTCGAGTTGTCTACCCTTTTTATTTAATGCAACATCTTCTTTTAAAAAGGCAAAAATTAATCTTATTTGATATTAAGAATATATGTCCAACCTTAATTCAAGATTGCAACAAATAAAAATTTATAGGTCTCTTGAATAACAAGGCTTTAGAATAGAGGCATTTGAGTTATTAAATGGGTTCTCTTTCCAGACACATTTTCATACTTGGGTTTATCATAAAATATTTTCCTGCAAAGAACTTGTTTATTCTTCTCAAAACCTCATTACAGCTAACTGTCTACTAGCAGGGAGAGATCATTTTTGATGTTTTAATAGCATCATTTTTCTTAACCAAGACTTAGAAGAATTGAATCAAGGCTGCCAAGGCTTTTTCAGTTAAAAAAAAATTCATTCTTTTTCAGACATAAAGGTTAATGCAGATTTTTCTTTAGTTCTCAAGTTTTTTAATCTTCTCTCTGAATTCCTTTTATGCTTCATCAGGAAGCATTTCCAGATGAGAAATTTCTCATCTTTATTTCACAGTAGCTCACATTGCCTGCTAAATATAGCACATTGGCTACAGTGAACTTTTATTTGCTCCTGCCAATGGTTACAAAAATTTTGTGTGGCTTTTAAACCCAGAGATCCAGCTAAACTGAGTCCCTTTAGGCTGATTCATTGTACTAAGCAGTATCTGCTGCAAAAGGACAGAGTAGCAGAAGAGATGTTTTTGGAGAGAGTTGGAGAGGCAGGTGTAGGGATGGTGGTGCACAAGAACAGATTTGATGTGCAGAGGGGAAGATGAGAAGAGGCTGGAAGAGTGGCAGGAGAGTAGTGGGATAAGAAAGGGATGAAATGATTGAAGAAAAGTTAATGGAAGTGAATCATGCTAATTGAACTGAAATCAGGAAGGAAACTTGCGGAAGCCAAAAGGGATGCAGAAGAAAGCTCTGTACTTGTAAATATTAAGCTTTCTGCTTCAGTCTTTCTCTGCATGCAGATGTAAATACAGCTACATCATTGCTGTCTGTCAGAGGCTCAGTTCAAGTGAACCTGTGTCCTTCACCTCCACAAAGAAGCAGGCGTTTCCCCGACTCCCATAGGTAAGAGCAGGCTTTTTGTTGCTGAGCCACAGGTTGTCTGAAATTACAATATAATCAACATCAGAGAAGAACCTCTGGTTTTCTTCCTCAAGTAGCTTCTCTAGCCCCAAGGATCCTGCTTCTTCCATGCCTTCAATTACAAACTTGAAGTTCACTGGCATAGCCTACATAAAAATTTGAAAACTCTGAGTAAGAAACAAGCATTTTAAATTAAAAAAAAAAAAAAAGTCCTTAAAATTAGGAGCAGATTGGTTTGCTGTACAAATTGTGTTAGGATAAGAAAGATGTAGGATATATAGCTTGCTTTATTAGAAAAGCCAGTGATAAACACATATAGGTTCCCAGAAAAACTTGTTCTTTTCCTCATGTTTTTATCTACTTTTCATTTTTAAAGGAGAAAAGGTGATGTCTTTTTTTCTTTTTCTTTGTGTTTTCAGAAAATTTGCTGGAATATCTCATTAAATGGGCTTTCTCTCAGTGCTATTCAATATTCTAATTGCTCTAGAAATCCTAGCTGTGTAATAGCAATGGCATTTCCACAGAAAATTCCTGCCTCATATTTCCACTGTTACTGCCCATGTGGGAGCATGGCTGTGGTTTTCCCAACATTGTCTATCACCAGATTTACATGGTGAAAAAAATGTTGTCAGTGACTCTACTATAATTGTCTTTTTAGCACTCATAAATTTGCAAGCCTGTTGGTTGATAAGGACACATTTCCAAGAGTAATTTGGAGAACTTTTATTATGGAATAGTGGGAGTTGAAAATGCTGACACATCCCATAGGAAACATAAATTTCAACTTAGTTTCCTATTACAATTCATTTTCTCATTAGAGGTTTTAAGATGTTTTCTCTTTTGATTCAATACTCAGATTAAAGGCAGGAACAAATGTGTAAAATTAAATGAACCTGCATCAGGGATGGGTTCACTGATGGAGCATCAGCTGGCCACAGAAATTTTAGAAACAAACTGTTAATGAATATTGTTTGATGGTCTGTGCTGTTTTCTAGAGAGAAGCTTCAAATGACTAAAAGTCCTTTTTGCTTGCTTGTTAAAATATCATGATAGTTATTAGTGATTTTAAAAACTAGGAAAATGTCAGACTATAATCATATCCACTTACAACAACTATTCTTTAGGCAAATGTGTAGTGCTTAAGAGAGACCAAGGTCAATTCAGTACTATAGAAGGAAGAAAAACATCTTTTCCAGAAGGTTGTAAGGGGACTCAAAAAAACTCAAGACTTAATGCTCAGTTTGTGCCATGATGTCATACAAGAGACAGAAATCTGTTTCTCAGCACATTAACAGAATATGTCATGCAAATTCACCTTAAAGAATGATAGTTAACCCAGTTACAAGCCTAAAATATATTTTGGTTTACCTTTATTTTGGGGGTAAAATTACTCCAAAATTATTAAATTATTTGAAGATGACTATGCTGGTCATTGCAGTAATTTAGGCAAATGTCTGACCTCAGAAATTCATCAGACTCTGAGTGATTGCATTTGTACTTGGTGAACGTGCCCATTCAAAGTATTTGCTTTGATAAATCTAATCTGTTGGTGACATAACAGCCCATTCTGGATGAACATTTTTAGATGCTTATTCTTTTCATGCAGACACATAAATTGAAGGTATCTCGTAGGCAGACCAGACGACACCAAAGATTAGCAGAATGTATCACCAGAGATGAGATTTCACGAGTATTCTGTAATGTCTGTTATTTTACCATTTTAAAAGCTCTCAAGAAAACAGGGTATCAGAGCTCTGTAATGTACATAATACATATTGAATGCTTCCCCGTGGGTTTTCCTCTGCAGGGCAATAGCAGCGAGACTGTATTTACATTGCAGACTGTTCAAAACAGAAATGCTCAAAGATAAATTCTTACTGGAGTGGGACCAGTGCCCAAAGTGTCCTTACCCTGATGCCCTTGCATCAGAAGTAGCTAATATTTCAAATTGTATGTAATCTGTTGTGACAGAGAAGTCTCATCTTACTCAGAAATGTAAATACATCCCTCCAGAGATATAAATAATAACAAATAATAGTAAAGAATAAAAATTAGCAATAATAATAGAGAAGTCCTCATTGATACCTACAAATTTCAAGGCTCTAAATGTTTCCACTGCATTTATCCAAGCTAGGACAGGTCCCTTATTGTCTGTTGCTCCACGCCCATAGAGGTTTCCTTGAAAAGAAAAGAGTAAAGTTTTTAAGCAATCTTTGAATTTTCCCTCATCACTTCAATGTAATTGGCAAATTCCAATTGCCACAGAAGCTTAAGTGACGGAGAGAAGAAGTGTCAAAAGTGTCATGATTTCACTGACTCATTTTAGATCTGGTGTTCAATTGCTCCCTAATGGACTGGTACACTTTTTTCTCCCCTTTCCTTCCTTTTATATGCATCATGTTGTGGTTTTTGTTGAATTTTTAAGTTTCACTTTTTTTCTCAGGAACTGTTTGTTCATACCAGATATTCCTGAAGGGTTTGCACAATACACAGCCTCTGGACATATCATTCAGACCAGGTAACAAGCACCAAAATCCCTACAGATATATGCCATGAAATGCAGAAACACTAAGCTACAAGTCTAAGTATGTAACTCCTTTTCCAGCTCTACATCATGTACAGTTGTGACTGTGCATGAAACTGAAATATGTCCCTGTGTATAAACTTCTATAGTAGTCCCCACTGGATATACCCTGGAAAAAGGCAGAAGAATCACATCAGTATGGCTGTTGAGAATTTATCCCAGATAATGAGAAAGGGCAACTCAGTGGTTATAGCCTGGGAATCAGGATTTCTGAGGCCTTACTCATCTGCTGACCCTCTATCCATTGTTTTTGTTCCTTCAGTCAGCTAGCTATGCTGGAAGGATAATTACATTTAGGGGTACTGTACTCACTTTCTTCCAAGCAAATGCTCCTTAGCTCCAGCATGGCAGGTGGAAGTACATAAGTGGCATGAAGCAAGAGCAGGAGGTGCAAGGGAGGATAATGGTTGATGCAAAAATCCTGTAACAACTTCTAAGCAGAAGTGGATTCTCTATTGAATACTTCATAAAGCATCTTTAACCTCACATTGCTTTTCCACACCAAATATTAGGCAGTCACAGCTGAAAGCTGCTGGACACATCCCAAAGATTTCCACAGAAGTCCTCATGCTTTGGTTAAATATACAGGAACTCATCTCCCAATCAGAACCTTGGTCATGTATTCAAATAATGATTCAAAACTTATGAAAAGATGCACACCATCTATTTCAGTCAGTGTGTAGGGGTCAGTGTTCCATCCATCTTCCTTCTTGGCCGGCTGCACATCCACATGACCATAGAAACACACCGTGGGGTTTTGTGGATCCTTCCCCAGCTCCCCAAGAATCACAGAAGGCAGTGGGAGGACTTGGCCATCAGGCAGCTGTGAAGAAAGGTTAAGAAAAGGCATCTAAGGAAACCAAACCTAAAACTTAGAAATGTACAAAAAATCTGGAATTCTTAGTATTGAAAATACTTCTACACTCAATTGATTTAGATTTGATTAAGTGCATAAATCTGACCGCATCCAGTTTTAAGCTGTTTAGAGAAACTAAGACTTTTCTCCTCAACTGTTTATTTCCTGCTGGATTTTGTAGAGTTCTTCTAACATTTTATTGTCATAAATGCCCTCCTTACCAAAATCTCATGTCTCAGCACTGGAGACAACAGAGGTAACCTTGTGCTATGGAGCCTATTGTGACACTGAATAGTCAAAAGCCACACAAATTAGTTTGAGGTTTGATTTCACCACAGACAGAGAGGGCAGGAGGCCTGTAAGCTCAAATAGAGAAACCAAAAAAAGTGCTGGCAGGAGGCAGTAGCTATGTCACACTGTCTTAAAAACAGGTTAAGGCTAATCCTCTAATGTGGGTCTGTGCAGAACAGAGCTCCACACGGCCCAATTGCATTCTCTGCAACTATCAAATGACACAACCTGAAATACTAGTGTTGCTATACTGCCAGATCCTTGTGCTAAGCATCAGAATCCTCACCAAAAGCCTCAGAGAAAAGGAAAGAGAATCACTATAATTGAACCTTTGAATTCCTGTTAGAGTAGTAATGTAACAGCCCAGGGCAGAAAAGAGCCCATGGCTACAGTAAGGAAAGTAAATTAGAGACTAAGTTCTCTCAGAGATTAACTCTTCCCTGTTGCTTTCCAACAATGAAAGAAAATAGCTTGGATCATTTGTCAGAAGCTCTGAAAACTATTGATGCTCTAGGTAGCTAACCCTTTGTCTGACAACATTTTCCTTGTTAAAAAAACCCTCCCTCATCAAGAAAGTTCAGTGACAAACGTGCATTAGTTCTCATGGTTCATTACAGACAAAAATTTAAAATGAGCCCCAGTAAACAACTCAGTCCTTTTACTTTTGCAAACTGCTTCCTACCAGCTAAAAGCATCAAACTCCCTTCTATGCAGAGAACATCAATTTGCATTTGGATTGCTTGTGTGGTTCCCAGTATGCTCTCAGTTCCCAGACCTGATTTCAGCAGGTATCATGCAGGACTATTGATTAATTTGTATCTAGCTTTCAAAAAATAACTCTATGTCATAACATACATGTACATAACACTGAATGCAATAGGTAGACCCATGTGTAGATATGATGTTTTAAGTCCAAGAATCAGATAAGCACCTGATGTGACCCCAAGTTTACTAAATTAACAGTGGCTCCCAGTGCTGCAAGTCTGTCTGCTGCCAGTGCCATCATTCGCATTACTTCTTTTCTCAGATGTGGCTGAACAGAATCACTTTCCACAGCCACCCATTCCTTCAGATCCTGCACAGGAAGAAATGTGCAATTAGGTGATCCAGAATGTTGTTGTCCTTGGCCCTTGTATCAGAAATCTCACACTGGAAGATGATTTTCTTTCTCTGTCATCACAGCATTATCATATCTAAAGTTTCAGGATAGAGAAGAATTGCTTAGATGTCTCCCCAGGGTTGAGATTCCTGACTTTCTAAACAGGGAGGGTGCTCACACTTAGGCATTCACATTATCAACCCTGGATCAAAACTCCAGTGAAAGAGGAGGTAGACTAGACGCTGACTAGTTTGCATTATAGAAATTGCGTTATGTACAGCTTACCTTGGTGATCCTTGTGTGGATTCAGAAGTGCTCATAGATTCAGAGTGTAACTGATACTGACTGGACTGATTATGTTTCTGTATTTTCACAGTGGGCTGATGGAAATGAAAGCACAAACCAGTGTGGGACCAAGACTCCTCTCCTTGTAAAGAGCAAAGCTACAAAACTCAGTTCTGAAGCAAAGGCAGAGAGTGAGCATCCTATCTGACTTGCATGCCCATGCAGGTGCATTTTGACTTAGTGGAGCCTCTCTCTGAACACACTCAAAGGATACCCTGAAACATCTCTTTTGTGGAAGTCCATGCAAATCCCTCCTTCACCCCAGGGGTCCCCAGCAGTTTGTCCCCTTGCAGCCTTGCTGTGTGAAGTGCATATTGCACTCCTGATGCCAGACCTGGAACCCTGCACATTACCTTTGTGACAGGCACTCCTCCAGCCAGAGGAGCCCAGGCCTCTGGGGCACCAGCTCTGTGTTCATCATTTCACTGCAATATAGTTCCTACCTTGATAAAATCACTTTGATGTGCATCAATATACTGGAAGATCTCCATTTCCAGCAATGAAGATGATGAGGAGGACATTACTGCCTTCGAGAGCAGCACAGGGCTGAAATGGATGCTACCTGGAAGTTAAGGATAAAATTCAACATTACAGACATCCTGCAATATATATTTCTTTTCAGCACTAAAAAGCAGAGACACTTACAAAGTGCTGAGCTTATTTAAGTCTCATTTAGTCTCCTCAAGGCAGGAGAAAGAGTAAAACTTCATATTGATTCATAGTCATATATAGACATAAAAACTTCAATTGATTCATAGTCAAGTTGCTGAAGGAAAAAATTGGAAAAATTACTAAAGAGTGAACATCTTTAGTTTCAGCTTTATAAATAACTTAGGGGTAACATTTTCTAAAGAAACATTTGTTGCATCAGTTTTTCAGTACACAAGCATCAAATTGTAAGTTCTGGGAAGACAACCCTGGCAATTAAGGGGCAAGACTTGCAGGTACCAACAGCCCAGAGGACTCATCTTTCTTTTCATTTCCAGAATCATAGAATATCCTGAAATGGAAAAGATACACACAGATCATTGAGTCTGACTCCAGAATCTTCACAGGACAGCCCCAAGATCACACCATGTGCCTGAGAGCACTGTCCAAACACTCCTCGAACTCTGCCAGGCTGGTGCTGTGACCACTTCCCCAGGGAGCCTCTTCCAGTGTCCAGCCACCCTCTGGGTGAAGAACCTTTTCCTGATATCCAGCCTAAACCGCCCCTGACACAACTTCAGGCCATTCCCTCGGGTCCTGTTGCTGGTCACCAGAGAGAAGAGATCAGTGCCTGCTGTTCCTCTTCAGCTGGGGGAAGGAGAAGTTGTAACTGCAATGAGGTTTCCCCTCAGTCTCCTCCAGGCTGAACAGAACAAGTTACCTCAGGTGCTCCTCACATGGCCTCAAAGCCCTTCACTATCTTCATAATCCTACTTTGGATGCTCTCTAATGGTTTCATGTCTTTCTTACACTGTGGTACCCAAAACTGCATGCAGCAGTCAAGGTGAGGCCACTCCAGTGCAAAAGAGAGCAAAACAATCCCCTCCCTTGCCCAGCTGATGATGCTGCAGCCCAGGACATGATTTTCCCTCCAGACTGCCAAAAGAAGGCAGAAAAATTGATTCACTGACACATATTACATATTTTATGTGAATAAGGGAAAACAAGCCTGATGCTGGAGAGTATTAGAAAACAAATAGCTTTTGTGGTTGATTAAGAACAGTGACAATACCGAAACACTTGGTAAGTGCAGAAGTCATTTAGTACCTGCAAACCTCTCTGCCATCTTTTCTTTTTTATAAGATTTTAAAATGTCTTTTTCTTATTCCTCCAGTTTTCCTTTCATGTTTGCTTGAAGCTGTTGCTGTAGTGTCTTGAATTGGTATTAGCAGAGTAATTGTTGGATGGCTAAATACTTGGTCTGGCTAAATTCAGAACAGCTGCTGTATCAGGCTGTGATAGGATGGACTCCAAGGCCAAATCCCAATGCTTTTCTAAATATATTCTATAATAATAACGAAAGGTACAGTTGCAGGTCCATCCATAACTCCTTAACTTTGTTGCATTGCTAAGGTGATAGGCTATGGTAATATTAATAATTTCAATTATGTTTCTCTGACAGAGAAGGAAGATTGAAAGCCCAAGCGTGATGGACAAGATGAGGGAAACGTTCACTTTGGCTGGAGATCCTGGCTGTATGAAGGATGGGTTCCATTTTCCAACCTTCCCTCAGAAGCAAGGTTACAAGGCTTACCTCATTTTCTGAAGTGAAGCTTTGAGAAGGCCTCTGACAGCAGATATATTTCACAGTGTTCAATTCCTGACATCTCTTAGCAGTGGAAACACTGGTATTGAAAGTGACCAAATGCTGAATTTGCAGGAGAGTGAAGCTGCAAAGCACTTTTTTGGAGAAGACTTGTTAACCAAGCCAAGAAAATCCAAATTTGGAGGTGGTTTTTAGGATGGAGAGATTAAATTTAGCCGTATCATTTAAACATAGAAATATTTTTAAAATACTAAACCTCAACCTTTAGTGATGGTCAAAGTATCATTTTCTTCTTGTATTGTTTTCTCCATAAAACAGTAAACTCTACCTCCAAGAGATGGATCTAATCAACAATCCCCTTCAAATATTTTCATCACCAGTCACAGCAGCAGCAATTTGTTCTAAAGCAGAAGTGATTATTCAGGAATTTTAGAAGCAAGCATGGAAAAAATCTGGGCACTTTAGGCGAGACAAAGCAGTTTCTGGGATTTAGCAACAAAGACATGGTTGAGAATGAAGTTTTGATAATTTAGGTTACAGTCACCCTTGGATTGAGATTCTGCAGGTAAGGCTCAAGAACAGGAATTCTGCAACAAGCACCCTAAACTTAAATCCCCCAGTCTGGCTATTTCTTCTATCCTTGGACTGTGCAAGTGGCTGCAAATATTTGTCAGCTGAAGCCCATTTTACAGAGAGCAGTAAGTAGTAGGAATGTGGACCACAGGCATGGTCAGGAGGGCTTCCCAGGCTGCCCAGGGCAGAGGAGAGAAGAACACGAGCCCCAGACTGGGGTGGTGGTAACAGAACTCTGGTGAATGGGACCCTGATTTTCCTGGCAAAGACAAGACACTGGCACTTGCTGGGGCAATGCCTGGGTATCTGAGCCAAGGAGGGCATCTGAGCCAAGACTTTGCAGGTCACATTCAAAAGGGGTTCAAGGTACTTGAAGATGACCGGAGTTACGTAAAAGCTGAGTGCAGAGGCCATTCATGTTGTTTGCTTCTCTTTTTGTCACTGTGTGCTTTTGGGGGACCAGGCAATGGCTCTGCTTGTGCAATGCTGTGCAGTCTCCAGTGTGTCCCAGGAGAGCAAAGTTTACCTTCAGGGTGGTCCTTTTGACTGATGTAGTGTATTTCACCTGGGAGATGGGTCTTGCAGAGGGGAGCTGGCTCCCACATGAACTGAGGAGATGATGGGACCATGATGGGTGCATTTGTGAGGGGCTCTGGAAAAGTGCAAGGCACTGCACCTCTAGAAGAAAGTGATAGCAGCAGGAATGGTACAGGGAGCATTCATCTGTAGGTGGGATGAAACCTAGTTTTGCCACAGTCAAATCATATCCCAGGATTTCCATCAGCTGTTCATCTAGAGAGGCATCAGGACCATTACCTTCATTTGCCACAAAGCTGGGTGGCTGCCTCAGTTTCACACATATTTCACTCATTTTTCTACCTTGCAATTCCCAAACCTCAGTCTGAAAACATTTACAACAGAGGCCACTGAATGCACCCTCCTTTAACCTTACTGTAGAAAACCTGACAGGCTTCTCAGGTTCACTTATATAAAAAAAATAGATCTTTTGGTTATTCCATGCCTGAACAAGGAAGATCATAGCAGAGGTCAGAACATGGCTGCTAGAGGCACCAATTGCAATCATGCAGTGGATGTAAATGATGTAAATATCATCTCTATCACATATGATTTCCCCTCCTTCTATTCAAATCTTTGATATTGCTGAATTCTATGCACTTTCAATCTAAAAAATTGGTATATTTATATATAGATATATATATATCACCTTATGGTGACTTGAATAAATACGTACCTTTTAATGTCAGAAGCACAAAAGGGCTGCTTGAGGATTTTACAGAGGATGTCTGCTGTGGTGCTGGTGTCTTTCTCTTTTTGTCTCAGTTACGTGCAAATGACCTGGAAAGATGCAGACAAGAGACGTATGTCTTTGTCATGTTTCATTAGCATTTAACTGTTTAAGAAAATGAAACAAGGAAGCTAAAATGCTGTGAAGGAAAAAAATCCCAACCAGCCAAGCAAAATATCCTAGGGAAATTAGGAAATATTCTGTGATATTTTCAGAACAGATCAAACTTCAAGAAAAGATCATAGAATATCACAAAAATACTTTTGTTCATAAACAAAAGTAAGGAACAGAGGCAAAGTTTGGAAAATGAATGTGAAGAGATACCAAGCAGCAGAGCACAAAAAATATTAATAATTCAAACAAGAAATTAGGTAACAGCTATGTTTTTCTGTAGTAGAAGGAGGGAGGGAGGGAGGGTGAGTAGCTGGTGGAACTTCATGTTAATGCACTACTAATACACAAAGTGCTGCTCAGGAGCATTTGGATTGCAGCTGGAACAGCTCATGTCAAAAAGGGAGCCGGTTTAATAAAGCTGTAGAAAGATTTCAGGCAAAGCTGAGATATCTCAGTGTCATGAGGAGGGGAAAAATGATTTGAAAGAATGATAGTTGGGGGGGATATCAAACAAAGACTTCAGTGTTCAATGTCAAGTGTATTTTATTTGATGTCATTTTAAGGAGCAGTTGCTGCTCTATAGAAAAATGTAGTATGCCTATTTTTAGAAATAATACATGACAGTCAGTTGTGCACTTTCTCTTCCTTTGTTCCTTAGTAGTAAGAACATTTTTTGTCTTGCTTCCTCCCATGTCGTTAAGCACTGTTAAAAGAAAACTTACTGTTCTTCTGTGGTGATTTAACAAGAAATCCAAGTTGATTCTTTGATAAAATATCAACTAAACTAACAAATATTTGAGAAGTAGCTCCTTAACGTGCTTTGAAGGCATCCTTGTCTCTCCTGAAGCATGTGCTTCATGTGCTTCCCTCCCTGCAACACAGCATTTCAAGTGGGTGCAGGGAGGAGGGTGCCAATAAAACTGAACATTGGGTTGCAAACACCCCAGAGAAAAACTAGACTGACTAGAAAAATTAGTCCTGAGTCAGGACTCATCTGGTTTGCAAATAACATAAAGTACATTTGACACGAAAGGAAATAAAGATGTTTATGGCAGTAGGAACTAATTTAGCAAATCAATGGTGGACTCCACTGAAAGGAACATTCCCTCTAAGTAGTCACCATCAAGGAAGATAACTGAGATAATGGGGGTATTTTTTAACTTCTTTTAACAACACTCATTGATAATTGGCATACCATTGGTGGAAGCAGGCAATCAAGCCACAGTCACCTCTCCAGCTGAGTGAGGTCCTTGGAGAAGGAGGACAACTCTTCATGTGGCAGTTCTCAGGCCCAGCCCTGACCACCTGCAGCCACTGTTGTCCTACTGACCAGGAGCTGCAGGGATCCAGACACCTGCAGGGGAATGAATACCAGCTCACAGCACCTGACTGCATTTGAAGATTGCTAAAGAAGTATCACCCCAATCAAGAGACTGTGTAATGAAAATGTTTGGTGGGAAGCATAGGCAAGCTCTGTACTTGCTGGCAGGTGACACTGCAACACCCAGTGCTATTTTCAGCAGTCAGCTCTTCAAGTGTTGCAACATCAGTTACCTGAATGGGGTTTTGGAGAGCAGCAAAGACCAGCCCTGCCCATGCTCAAGCCAACCCTTTAAGGAAAAAGTGAGACCCTGCTTGTCAGTTCTGTTGTGCTGTAATACAGATGATATTTTAAAAGAACGTCCTTATATCTAGCTGCCTTTGTTGCTGATGGTGAGAGCTTAAACTGGAAAGGTCTCTTTCACCTGCAGAACAGGGACATTTTATCTCAATTGTACTTAAAAGTTCTGCAGTTAATAAAGACATAGTTTTAAGTTAAAGATTAATTTTGGGTTTAGATGTTCACTTCTGCCTGCTTTACAGTAGTACATTGGAGGACCGAGAGAAAATAGGTGGATTTTGCTTTGTCTTGAAAAGTAGAAAAAGAAAAGGACACATTTCTGTTAAGGCAAAGCCCTTTAACCAGAAAGTAATATTGCCTTTTGTACCCTGTGAGGAGGAGTAATTCAGCATTTACCTAAGATAATTTTCTGTTAATCGGTTTGCAATCAGATAAACATGGGCATGAAAATATTCTTCCTGGAAAGATAGCTCTGCTGGCTCTTGCTCTTTTCATGGCAAAAAAAGTTTTGTAGGAAAGAACTTTGGGATGTGCAGTATTTGTACTTAGATATGGATAGCCTCACCATCTTGCTGCCACATCTCCTATAGCAGAAGGGAGAACTGCTGAATTTGTAATCAATTTTAGGTGTTTGTGTCTGCATGCAAATTTCTACTCTTAAAGTCCTCTTCCCATTTTGAAAGAACCTCTACTGACATGGTCAAATTCAGTTAGAAGCATAATAAGGTAGTAAGTAATAAGGGAGATCCAGATCCTGTCTCAGTGCCTTACAAAGACCTTTCCTTTTATTTCTTTTCTTTTAATCTCCACTTGATTAAGGTGTAAAAACTCATTTGCAAATGAAATGCAGAATTTGGGGGGAATTAAATGTTTGTTTTAATTTATTTAAGATAATACTGTTTTTACATGAATCCTGTCTTCATTTATCTTAGCTTCAAGTATTTCACACTGGAGTTTATTCCTGAATTAGAATAGCACAAGTGAGATTAAAAATAGATCTACTATATCTAGTCAATTCATTCAACTGTTTCTCTATTAATCACATAATACTACTGAAGAACTGTACTATCATGGGGAAAAAAATCTATTATTACTTTATAGCTTAGTATTTCATTGCTAATTGCCCCTTATTTTATAACCTATAACTTGGAACAAGGTTTAAGGTCCACAATATAAGAGATTTATTTTGTTATGGTCCTTATTCCATTTATGGGATATCATAAACATTGCCAACATTGTTTAGAAGGATTTTTAAATGTAGGCAGGTTTATCTCTTTAATAAAAACACTCTTTGATGGTAGCTTATTAACTACAAGAAATGCAAGAACCAGCTCAAATAGTTTGGCTGAGTATCCTCTTTGGGAAACAGTAAGTGTTTAAGCAGGAGGAAATAGACTGATTAAAGGAAAATAAGAGCGGAACTAAAACAATAGGATAAAGGGGGCGGGGGGGAAAGCATTACTGGCTCTGTTTCTCTTGTTATTTGGAAATGTAAACAATCTAGGGTAGAGATGGTCCCCTACTTTGTGTTTCTATTAGTACCTCAGGGTAAAGAGTAGCACCCTCACTTGGTTAAAGTGATGGTACCTTCACTTCATTGGAACCTCAGCAGAATTTGCATGCTTTTACCTTGATTAAAAGAGTGTCCTAAATAATTACAATTAATTATAGGATTATAATTAATATTAAGTTTGAGTGAACAAATATGTAAGAAATATGTTGCTAGGACCAATATTTCATCAACACAGAAATGATATGGTGGTTTTCAATGCTTCCTGTCACTCTGTAAGCAGCTATCTCTAGTTCAAGATAGCTATTTTTCTTTTCTTGAAAGTGTAGTGCAGAAAAGCAGGAATGTTGCTGTCATCTCATAATCAGTGGTACCTGGTTATTATTGCAGCTTACTGTCATTTCTCAGTATACTCCCTTATTAAAACTTAGCATTGCATCCCAGAAGTATTGGTGTAGAATGGAGAGGCCCTTTCACACAAGTCCCCAAATCTCCCTCCCCTACAGATCTTTCTACTTCCCTGTGCAGCAGCAGCAGCAAGCCCTTCCACCTCTTTCCTCCTTCCCACTTCAGACTGCAGTTAGAAGAGTATTTCCCAGCCACCATCCTTCAAGATAATCACAATTGATGTCAAAACACAAGTTAAGCAAAATTGTCCACTCTGAGATCTTGTCACTAGCGGAGTGAGATTGTGATAAATTCCTCCTGGTACAGAGGAAAAGATCCCCAAGACCCTGACTTAGTAGTTGTTACCTGGATGTCAATAATCACACCTGGGTATATCAGTGGAAAAAGATTGACATAGAAAAGGTCCCCTTACCCAGGCAGGAGATGCTTCACAAGGATAGGTGGCTGCAGACTGTCCTCTGTACAGAGCAATGATGTTCAGCACCTTCCAGGAGCAGCGCCACAAAGATTTGAGGTGCTGTGTGGACGAAGAGCAGTAACATGGAGCTCTCTCACCGCCTGCTGGCTCATTCAGCAACCTCTCTGTACCCAGAGCTCCAAGCACACAAGTAATAAGTGATAAGCCAAACAAACAAATTCTTGTCCAGTGCCAATGCCAGTACACTGCTCTGAGTGCTGACACAGGAGACTGTCCTATTTTTCCAAAAGCAACATTGTAAATTCATTTGGCTTAATGATTCAGCAATTTTTTTTTCAGATATTAATCACACTGAAATGATGTGAGGGGTTATTCCCATCTTGATATCCTTCAGACAGCTTTTCTCAGCCAAATAGCATCAGTTTTCCTTAGGGATGATTAATGCCCTCCTTGCAGGTAAGGCTTTGATCCAGCTAATAGCTCATAGTCATTTCCAAACAGACTCACCAGACTGGCTCTTCAGGCTCACAGAGTAAACATTAATCGTGTAGCCCTTTGTTTATGCAGCTTTTCCTACTGCCTCCTCCCAGCTTTCTGTGAGGTCCAGGAATTGTCAGAGTCGGGGCACAGGTCACTGTGGTGGTGCTGTGCATGGTGTCCTTCAAG